TCTCATCCAGGATAGCACTTAGAGCCACATTTGGAATAATTAGATTCTTTTGTTTTGCTTTCCTAAAAAGCTGAGACATCACCTGAAGATAAAGGTAAGAATTATATATGCAGTTGATAATCTTCCGATCTACTCCTTTTAACTACTCTAGCTGTAAAGCTAAGGAGCAACCTTGATGCTTTGTCCCCTCGAGAGTATAAATGAGAGCGGAACACTAGTCACACGAGCCATCTCAACATAGTTATAAATGAACATCAATTTGTCCAAAAGGCGTTGTGGTAGGTACGCATTCTGCAATAATTTAACAATGAAACCGAGTTTTCCCAGTAAGACTAACATTTCTTATTTAAACATGTTGAAACACAAAATTCCTAAGACATGAAGATGCTTATACTAGGTTCAATGATGCTCGTACTTGATCGATGCTCGGACAAAAAACAATAGCATCTATCAATAAGGTGGTATTGTTTGTCGGACTAATATTCTTTATTGAATATTTGTTGTTGTGATTGTGAATGAGACATCACATCAATGCTCGTATAATGCATTTAGTAGTATAATATCAATGCATGAACCAGTGATAGACCTAATGTCGAAAGCTTGTGGAGTTCCTATGACCTGATGCTCATACAATTGGTAAAACTTGTAAATGGAGAAATTGCAGGTTGTCCTTTGATAATAGATCTAGCATACCTGGAGAGAAAATACAATCTACATCCCTACAATTCAATCTCAATATCCTAACTTATACATGCGTTTTTGTTTATTTTGAGTGCGAGGAGGACAGTTAATATAGTGGAAGGAGGTGTTTTATAGACATGGCATCTAAACCTTTTCTTTGACAGTCTAAGTATAATGAATAAGGGCATTTGCTACAAGGAGGGAACTGGAAATGCAAAAACCAGGAGGAAAATAAAATTACCACAATAGGGAACCGCTCTAAGCATACAAATGCACAGACTAATTAAATTTTATGTTGTGAACGATAAAATAAAATGAGACGCATAAGAGCCTACATGTCACAAGAAATATAATCCAGATATACTTAAGCTGAGGAATATGATTCACCTTCAAACAATAGACAACAAGACTTTTTCTGGTGTCTGAATTCCCATTGTGAAGGTCGGATATAATTGAATGGTGCACATCCTCTTTCTGAAAATGTATTAAACGGTTTAAATTAGAAACACCAAGTCAGTGTAATAATTAAAAACAAAATCAAGGGGATATTGAACGTTAGGCGACATAGCTAAGTAAAATGATATCATAATTCAAAGGTATTGTCAAGATTTAGTTTCTGGAAGTGTACAATCCGGGATCCAAACTACTGGAAGATAACAGCAGAATTGTACAACTTAATTAAGAAAGTGCCAAAACATATCCAGTTTGCTACCAATGCTCCAGATTGTTGTCAGTTGCAAATTGCAATTCATGTAAACCATTCGTAGTTTACTTAATTTTATTGAGCAATTTTGCATGCGTCCACCATAAGAATCTACTCAGTTAAACTAAGATCAAAGTCTTCTCTCCTAAAAGCAACATTTGGTAAACCACCGTGTAACATATATTCAAATACATAATTGCAAAACTTACTGTGCATGCCCGTCTCGCTAACTTTCTATTATTGAAATAAAAATAAAAAATAAAATATTCCATTGCTCTAAAGAGGTTTGAGTTTAAAAGTGAATCGCACAAAGAAAACACAATCGCATTTGTATGAAAAATCAATAAATACGCATGAGTATAAAACTATAGCATTGACATAGAAAAGTTATTAAAATTTTTTATATAAAGGGGAGAGATAAAGCAACAACTGCAAAAAGAAATATACAAAGACAAATGCCCACCTGCTCATTAAGAAAGTGTGCAGAAACAAAATTAAGTGAATAAGAACTTAATTTGTAATCTCTCTGAATGGCCTGCATAAACAAGTACCAAAGGTGACAACTTACAATTATGTACAATAAAATAAGGATTTTTTTTCCTGTCACTCTTAAATATGAGTCTCAGATGATGCAGTTCCGTTTGGCAGGAAAAACCTGTAGCAGGTCAAATTGTACCCTCCCCTCCATTGTAACTTCTTTACTTTCTCTGGTCCCATGTTGTCTGCAGATCCACAGGCTTTAATCCATCAGTTTACTTAGCAACAAGATATAAACTAAGGAACTCAATAATCTCCATTTCAAGATACTTAATGCCTATACAGACCACATACACTCGATTGCGTAATCTCGCTAATGAGGAAGCTTTAATGATTTGCAGACTGCTGTAGCTTAATGTTTTTACTTGCACATGCCTTTGCATAACGGTAAATGATTTTCTAGGGCTACATTATACAGCAGGTACAGAGTAATAGATATTTCAAAATTTCAACTAAAAGACTGCATTTGCTGTAATATAACTTTCTTATACAACACTATCTTCATAGAGGATCCAGATTATTATTGTGCCATCCTCATACTTGTGTGCTTAGCAGTTCAATTTCACCCACATAAATCAACTTAGTGGTCGTGTGTTAAGTGTATATTTTTACACTTTATCGTACCTTTTTATTTGAGCTTTTGTTGTGTTTTAACGATAATTGGTGCTTAAAAAGTTGATTTATTGTATTTTAGGTACAAATTGAAGAATTGGAAAAGTATGGGGTCAAAACTGCAATTTTGGAGAAAATATGGGCCAAAAGTGAAAAAATCAAAATTCTGAAGATTTAAGGCTCGGACGGCCGTCCGAGTTTTAGTTCAAATAATGGGACGGCCGTTCGAGACTCCGAAGCTGCGCAGTAAAGGGATTTTAATTGCTCAAGGAAACTGCCTTCTTCCCCAAGTTCTTCACCCTATATAAGACCAACCCAAGCACACAATTGAGGATCTTTTTTTACGCAATTTGGAGAGCAACAAAGCAATAACGAAGACGAAGAATTCGAAGACTCTAAGCATAGATTTATCGTTTATGACTTATTTTATTTGTGTTTTTCCTTTAATCATGAGTAGCTATTTTCTTATTTCTATGATTTTATTTGGAACCCTATGTAGGATTTATGAACCCAATTCTATGATTTTATGCAAGTTTTAATTCCGGATTATTTCTTCTACTTGTTTTATTAAGTTCATGAAACTGGCCACTTTATGCGCTTTTATGTTATTGTTAATCGCATGAATCGGAAGATCGGGTTAATAATTAGAACTGTGGTAGAAGAGCCTTTGTGGTATTAACATAGGAATATAGTTAATCTCTTAGGTAGCCATTATTGAGATTTGTGCTTAAGGCTGTGTTCTAGAATTAATTGCATAGGAATATAGTAATTGAATCTAGAGTATTAGAATCGTAATACACGCGGAAGCGGGTTATGATTATTTTAGCATCTCAGGTTAATAATCCGGGTTAATTGCTTGCATAATTGAAGGAATTGGGGGAGTAATAATCACATAGGGGGAAGAATAAAATCTTAGGCTTGCTTATCTTGATTAAATCTTCGTTTTAAATTGCTTTCTTGTTTTTGCTTGCTTTTAATTTAGTTTAATTTAGTTAATTCTCTCTAAAGTCGACTGTGTAGGGTGGGCTTGATAATTGGTAGAATTTAGCGTCTAGGATTAGATAATTAAATATTCTTTGTGGGATCGATATTCGGACTTAATTGTCCACTTTATTACTTGTATGATACGTGCACTTGCGTGTAGGTATTACAACCAACATCGTGCACATAGTTAACTATAATGATATCTGAAAGTAAGCAAAACAGTTTGGGAAGGAAGGAGAAACTATTTCAGTACCTTGAGGAAAAAGTTGTATCCTTGATGCTGACACTGCTATTTCGAATACGCCCAAGCATCGGAAATTCAGCTATTCCCAGTACATCAGCTCTCTGTTAAGTTCAAAAATAAAAGAAAACAAAAGCACTATACATAGTCAACCGCTTGTTAAACTACAGAATTTGTTTTTATCTTGGGTTGGGAACAACATCCCAACATTATTTTCATGTTAATTGGAATGAGATACTAAAAATTGAAAGGCAAAGTTAAGATATAATATCTCCACCTCAATAAGGTATGGCATATCGAATTTGCAGATGTTATAGCCAATTATGATGTTTGGGTCCACTTCACGGACTAAGTCCTGAATAAAAATGAAGATGAAATGAAGAACTTTTAGCGTATGACTGTGTGCTTTTCAAGATAGGAGAGAAACATGTTCCATCCAGTAAAACAATACCATAAGATAAAGAACTTCCAAGAACAGACATCATGTTCTACTAATAGTCTACTGCATAAGACAACATGACTATTCACAAGATTTTATTCTCCTTCTATATACATCAATGTATCTACACCTTTAGGCACAATTAGTATGATAATATGGCATCCTAGTTATGAACTTTATAGACCATATAAAATGGTGTTGGCATTGGTGTACGTGGTGGTATAAATAAATGCCACAGTGTAATTCTAACGTGCAATTTGGGACGACTCGACAAGGGATGCATGGAAATTATGTAATAAGAGAACAAAATAAAAATAAAGGAACGAATGCCAAAAAAAAAAGGGAAAAAGGAGAGAAAGAGAGTACAGCCTACCTACCAGAAGACGAGTATCATATAATAGGAAGAAATGATTTATGCGTGCGAAAATAAAATGAAATAAGTGAAATGAAAACAATTAAGACATAAATTTCAGGTACATGAGGAATCTAAGACATTAATGATATTGAGCATATTTAAAATGGAATGTAAAATATCTCAAGAATGGCGTTGGCTACATTTTCTGAATCTGGTCAATCTAATATTATTGGCTAGAGTTATGGCAAGAGCATTACCCTCCAAGTTAATAGAACTTATTTTTCCGTGTCAAATGACATAACATCAACGTCGGCAATACTTGAGCAGGACTTGAGAGTCATGACATTCCGAACAAATGGCAGGCCTTCTCCCAGTAATGTTATTACATTGGCTATCTAGATAATAACAAAATATATATATATAAGAAACAAATGGTACCATCGTGGACTGTTACTTGCATAGATTATTGCATGCTAACATGGATACTAGGATCATGACTGGGATCAGGAAAATGATCTTTCCTCCCAGCACACTCAATGTCAAAACTTAGTATGCGAAATGGAGCCATCGTTGAGAATTCCCCTTCAGGAGCATGACTGATCAAGTCCGAAAAACTAAGAGCGTATATAAAGGTAAAACTATTTTAACAAGATCAAATCTAGGAAGAAATACCAACTCCTATGCTAGGAGAACTATTTACTTTCCATTCATGAGGATACAGGCAATAAAACTCCAACTGACAGTTGGAGAGACTTCTCGATATCTTGTTATATTTTCCACGGGGAACTTCTATCTAGTTACCCCCAACTATGTTGCAATCAATCATGAAACGGAGAGAGAAATTAATATTACTCTCGTACGTCATGAAACTCTTCATGCCCAGTCCATCAATGTGTATTCCTCTATCAAGTATACCTGTCAGTATTGCCTTTAGATAAATGGAAACTAACATAATTTATTACGTAGTAAAGAATCGGAAATATAGTATCACCAGTTTAAATATCATCTGCTTATTGAATATTTGGTTATCAATTATGAATTACAGGACAATGAGAATATCACCACAAAAAACGATAATAAATGACAGGCAAATTGTACCTGAATAGCATGAATCAATACCACGACAGCTGGCGACCATTGTTGGCAGTGCAACTACGATTTTAAGGAAAGGATGAGAGGTCTCTTGTTGATAATGCATGGTGCTTCTTTTCTGAACCAACTCAATACGACGAATACATTTAGGAGCTTTGTAATTATTGTTTGTTTCTTTCATCTTACCCTGTACCAACCCCGGGTGAACAAAAACCAACACAATATAATTATGTTGAAGATATTAAGTTTCTTGAAGAGGTACACACTGTTACATAACATGGTAATAACTACCTCAAGAATTTGATGGACACGGGAAATATCATCAGGACCCATTCCTGAAGGGCAGTTGGCATAGAAATATGGCTCAAATCCATGCACAAAACATGGATTTCTTGGATGTGGAGTGGAGGTGTGCAGAAATGGAGAATTTCTTGTGAGACCTATGTTTGAAGAACTTGTTACGAATCTCCAAGCCGCGCGACTTTAGGCAGAAAGCAAACATGGCTGGTTTTTCTGGTGCTGGTGGTGCCTTCTTCTGAACACCAATTGAAAGGGTCGGATTGCTTCGATTAACAACGTGCTCCCACTCCTTAAGCTGCTGTTGGTATCTTTCCCAAAGAGGAGGCTGAATACAAAATAGAGATACAAATCTCAATTAAACACAAGATTGAAAAATAGAGATACAAATCTCAATTAAACACAAGATTGAATAAATAATTTGCGTTTTGAAGTTTCCTATGGTCGGAGATTCATATCTCTACTCATGTTTGTAGATTTCCCATTGAAGGCCGAGTATAAAATTTTAACGCGTAGCTTCATAACGTTCTGGGTCACCCCATTCCACCTGATGTGAGAGAAACTGTTTCGACTAAAAACAACTATTCTAGATTTAAATATCCACTAGGCTGACTTGTGAGCAACTGTTTCCACTAAAAACTTCTATTCTATATTGAAATATCCACTAGGCTGACTTGTGACTTGTTTTGTCTATTAATGGCCCCAACTTAAATTTTTATAAATTTTCATTAGACTTTGTACTCGCGCTTATTTGGCTTAAATTCATATAAATTTTCATTACACTTTGTACGAAATCATTAGTTGATAATGTATCACGCAAATCTATAAAGGTTAACATATTCGTGTTATTAAATAAGTACGATGCATGCCGATAGTTTTGTTGTTGATAGATACAATTCTAGTTGATTGGTAAAAAAATTCTAGTTGGTCGGTAAAAATGTCGAAGAACATTCAACGACTTGGGAGTTCTTGTAAGTGGGTTTCTAGGTTTTGCATTGTAAATAGGCTGCTAGGAGTTTTGAGGAGAACAAGAAAAAAAATATTGACATAAAACACACTCAACATACAATCAAGAAATTATTAAAATATTACAATATTGTATTTTATTGAAGTTTACTAATAAAAAATAATTATGTGATATTAATTCTATTTTGAAGATAATTATATTAATAAGTTTAAGTTTTATTATTAATTATAACTACAATTTCAACATATTATATTAATTAATTTAGTCAAATGATATCAATTTTTTTTTTTCTGAAATGGTACTAAATTGAAGATTTTTTTTTACACTATATCTATTATAATATGTTTGTCGAATATAATTGTAAAAATATGTGGTTTAAATTTAAATTGAAATTATAATATTAAAGCAATAAAATACAATGGTTATGTAAAATATAAACAATGTTGTTGGAGTGAATGTCAAAAGTGGTGTTTTAAAACACTGTTCATTTATCATATTATAGATATAAACAATTAATTTTGATTAATCTCTTGGAGATGGCCTTATCAGTTGAATATTTGAATTAATTAAGGTCATTCATGAACAACTTTGTCACACGGCATTCAATCTAGCGGATTTAAGTTGAATTAGAAAAGTAAGACAAAGGACTACGGTTTTCGTGTTTCGAATTTTGCCAAAATCAAAATAGAAATATGTCAAAATCAGGTTTGAAGTCAAAACGGTATTAGTAAAATTGAGACGAGATTTAATATTTCAAATTCCAAAAGCAGCCAATTTCTCAAGGCATGTTACTTCAACATCCTAAATAAGTTACAGTACAGAGACGGAAACAATATATTCATAAAAATGCAAATAAATTACTGTCAATACAAGTGTACATAAGTTCGACATTGCTAGCTGCAGATCTTCATTTCCTCACTACCTTCTTTCTTCACCAACTTCTCTTTGGTGGACTAGCTTGGTCTGTAGGGTGTCTGAAAATATTCACGTGACAGTTAAATCGACCCTTGTGTGATGCAGTGAAGATCAGAAGTTCCATCGGTCTAATTGTTGCTTGGCCTGTTCCATATCATTCTGTACTTTTTTCCTCCGGTAAAATATTGGGCAATCTCGACTGATATTATATATAAGCAGAGCACTCATTATTAGAACCAAACAACCAATCCCTAATAATCATATATCACAAATATGATCTAATCGTAAATATACGATGATATATCAGACCTAGTGCAGAGCACATCCTGATGAAGAGAGCCTTGGCACTCCTGACACTGCGTCCATACCCTACCAAAAAGCTCCTCCAATTCAGCAACTGAAGAACGAAAACACATATATATACTGAGTGATAGAAATTTGTGCATGGCCACTTGACATAAATTCTAGGGACACACCATGAAGATGTAAGAAGACAGGTTTCCATACATGCAATAAAGCTCAGCTTCTCTTCCCTTGCATTGCGAGCATAGAGTGTGATCGGAGTTGCTGGCAGAACAGGATTACAAACGGTTAATGTTTATTTTGTGTGCTGAACAAGAGTGTCAGTGTCAAGGGACATTTTTAATGTACAAATAACCTTAGATTATACACTCGACAAACAGTATCTATTGACATTGACATGTTATCGCTAATAACAATATCAAAACAGTTGGCATATATAAATCACTAAAAGAAACATATAATATGTTGTATCCAGTATTGCCCGGAAATAAACATATGATATGTCATGGGTGCATGTGTCCCAGTTGCTCGTACTAAATGTTGTTAATTGGACTACTGAAGACTCACATGTAATAATATCTTATTATTAATATAGTTGTCATGATTCATGAATGAAACAGGGAAGGTGTCCACATCCGAGCTTTACCTAATCGGAGTCTTGCATCCAATGCAACTTAGTTGCTTTCCGAAAAGCTTTCACTACAAGAAAAAAGTCTTTCAACAACATATGTTTAACAAGGTGCAAAAAAAGTATGTTGTTATTTAACATGTATTACAACGCGTGTTTAATGCGTTTTGTTATTAACGACAGTTGTATATATATTACAACATTCCAATTTTGCATGTTGTTAAATTTACATACCACAAGGTTAATCCGCGTTTTGTCAAATTATACATTATTTACAACACACGTCGTGCATTGTCATTATTTATCACGTACTACATCCTGCATTCGCACCTTGTAAAATTTATTCAAATTTTATCCAACCAAAGTTTAAAGACTTTTAATTTCACTCTTCTCGTTTTGCTTTCCCTCTTGTTCTTTTTTCCTTATTTTCCTTTTCTAATTTCCCTCTTCTTATTTTACTTTCCCTCTTTTTTTCTTTTTTCCTTTTCTTTTCTTTTCCTCTTTATTTTTCCTTTTTCTTATTTACGCATTTATTTGAAACCCTAACATAGACCCATCTCTCTATCTCGCTCCTGCTTTTGTCTTCACCCCTGCCGGCCAGCGTTTCATAGTCGCCTCTACCATCGCCAGCCTCTCCATCGTTTCAGGTAAAGTATATGTGTTCCAGTCTGTAAATTGAGATCTACAATTGATTGGGTCGTTTTATCTCCTCCGCTTAAATTCAATTTCTTTAATATTTTGTTCTCAAAATGAATTGGATTGATTTTATTGTATTTGTTTCTTGAAATCAGGCTTCTTATAGAATTTGTCGGAGAAACTATGCACAGTTGTCCATCCTCGTTTGAGGTCGATGTCATTTATTTGTAGTCATATAGAATTATGATAATTTCATATCCCAGGTACTTGATTTTAAATTGCAAGACAAGATATATCAATATCAATGTATCATTTAATTTGAGGGAAAGTTAATTGTTTGTTCTTCTTGTTCAAAGGCAGCCGATTTGGAACAAATTGATAAATTTTAGCGGAAAGATTGGTTTATTGCATTGAGGCATCATTTGAAGAAGTCGATTATTATGTATATGTGAGTATTTTATTGTAAATATTTTTATTTGATTCCTAGCTGTGTTTTTTTCATTGGTTTCGTCATCTTTGATTGTATTGTTTTTCTTCGGTTTGCAATAACTTTATCTCATTTTCTTCATGTTTGCAATTCCTAGTTGAAACATTCCACCGCAAAAACACTATTCAATCAGGTACTCCTTTTTTGTCTTTCCCATTAAAAAATAGGCCAAGTTTTGTTTCTACCATAAAGCAATATACCACAATGAATACATGTGGTAAGTTTAAATTCTTTTGATAATACTATATCCTATATGTATCACTCATACCATGTAAAGTTTGCATATATATTGTAAAAAAAATGAGAATCTGCCACCATATATAGAATATATATGTCATTTTTGCTTTCTATCTACGTATAGATCATCTTTATTATTTGATCATTTGTATATCAACTCATACTTTCGTTTGTTTGGGATTTTAATGTATAGCAGTTTATTATGATAAATACGATCTAGATGATTTATGTGTATGTTCAATGTCCTTGTGCCTTTACAATATTTTTGACAGAGTTATATATGACGAGCATTGCAAGGAATATGTGGAAGCAATATACACCACTCTTGTAACTACTTATAAGACAAATTGCAGTCTCCATGTGATCAATTTATGTTGAAGGTACATGCTTTGTGTTATTCGTTTCTTAACTTTCCAAAAGATTGATTTGTTGCTATATTATTTTATATATGATTTTTTTAATTTGTTCTCATTCCCATACCTTTTCTCACAGCTTGAAAAATGACCAATGACCAAATTTGTGAAGGATAATGAATGACCTTTGTGAAGCAAAATGAAGATGTAGATGACTTTTGAGTTGAATATAATGTAAGTTAAACTATTTTTTGATGCAATTCATTTTTTAATTTGATTTTTTTTTGCTCTGAATATTAATGGTTTTGGCATTTTCAGTATATTGTGGAGGAACTAATATTGGAGAACTTGACATCCATTGATTAAATTGAGAGATGTACGGCGCATGAGCATTCTCGGGTTGCAAGAAACTTTAGAATTAGTTTCGATGATAAATGAACTAGTTTTGTTTGTTGGTCAAGTGGCATACGATCATAGTGTTGATTGATAAATTTGTATTTTGCCAGGATTTTGGTTTATTAGAATTTAGACAACATTTAGATTAATTGAAATCTAATTCTTGTGTATTTTGTTTAGTATATATATATATATATATATATATATATATATATATATATATATATATATATATATATATATAATTTTTTTTGTGTGATGGTTAGTAATACCACAACATGCTCTTGAATTTTGTTAAAGTCTTTGACAAGATGCAACAGTGCCTTGTTGTAAGAGATTCTGCAAAAAGCATATACATCTTGTAATAGTGGAACACAACATGCAGTGCAACTGGTTATAACATAAATTACAACGTGCTTACAACGTTCATTGTAGGTTGTTATAGCTCACAAGCTTTAACAACATGTCCGTCAACAACATGCGTATGTGCGTTGTCAATCTATTTTTACAACACACATTGCATGTTGTTATAAGGTCTTTTTCTTGTAGTGTTTGCAATGCCAATGTTGGGAGTATAATTGTTTTTTGACATCATGTGACTCTCTTGAAAGAGCTCTTTATTAGCATTCTTCAAGATGGGTTCGAAGATCTTCATCAATGGCTGCAACCATAAATTATCTAATATCAGCTAAGAGGTACCGCAAGCTGTAAAACCACAAAAAAAAAAAAAAATGCTTCACGGACCTTGCTAATTTGATTTTCGAGGTAGTACTTGTGGTCTATAGGAATGTTATTTTCTAAAACGAAGATGGGATCTTCTGATCTTTCATAAGCCTGTTCACCATCCGTACATCAGGCTTTCTACATCGAGCTCTAGTGAATTAAAAAATAAATACAAATGAGAAACTTACCTTGGCATTGGTTTCTGCTTTAACAATGACATATGCTACCCGATCCCCGACGTTTGGAGCAGTAGCAGCATCCCTCTGTTATTCATAGCGCATATAGAACATAAGGAATTTTAAATTGCTTGCAAATATAACAAAATCAGTGATAATTAACAACTTTTTCGAGATCATGAGGATACTCAATCTTCATTACAATATAGCGCTATTCAGATTCACAGAATTTGAAGTGTTCTCCAACGAACTACAAAGTTGCTTTTATTAGTCATCGTGGTAGTGAAAAAAATAATCGAACTAATGATACATTTCAAACCTTGCTCATCCAATCTGCAAGCTCAACATGTGCTGCTTTCACTTTATATATGTCCCGTGTTTTTGTCAAAGCCTATTGAAATGGAATGTCAATGCATTATGCGAAGATGTCAAATGGAACTACCAAACGTACATGGCACATTTAGCCCTTGGAAAGCAGAGGAAAATGTCCAAGTGTTGCAGGAGTGTATTTATGATACCTTGGTGATTACTAAAAGGGATAAATCCATGCGATTCCTAAGGAGATCTGATATCATGTTCTTGACATATTGAACCGCAGCAGGAATATCCCTCTCCATCAATATTTTATCGAGGCACTCCGTCACCATGTTTTTTACCAGCATGCAGTTATCTCTACGAACCGTTTCAATCCCTGGCAAAGGAAAAATAAACGACTGCGTCAAAGTACCTCTTAGACCGTAATCCTATAATTATTCGGAGAAACCAATATCTACAAAATAAAATTGGTTATTTTGGTTATCATAACTTGAAATAGTTCACTAATTACGTGAATATTTAAATGAGTTTTTGGTACCAAAGGTGTGGTGAAATATTTAATTGTTTCGCTAAATTTCAAGACAGAAGTAAACGTGCAGCTTGACTCACCTTTGGTCTCCATCTTATCAAATTTCTGCGGGTTCGTCCAGTAAAGACCAGCATACCTCTTCTTACTAATTAGTAGATATGGATAGTAGACCTTCTCAAACTCCAGTTTTATGGGCTGCCAACGGAAGATGGCCATGGTAATGTGCACAAGAAATAATGAGATTGAGGGAAGAAGAATGCGGCGAGGGGCAAAAAGGGGGGGGGGGGGGGGGGGATTTAGAAATATGGAGAAAGTATAAATACATGAACATTAAGTAACAAGATTGACACGGAATACGGAAAAGGGAGCATAACAACTTACATTGATGAAGGTGCTGCTAATATAATCAGCAGCTTCCCTGCCCAATTTCATGGCCGCATCCACTGAGGAAACACCAAACTGCACCATTACTGAATCTGTATCTCCGTATATGACCTGACATAAAAATATAAGTAATTACAAAACTATCATGACCCAAAGGATACATACTACGAGGAAGTAATAAAAAACATACTACGAGGAAATAATAAAAGAATAAAAATTTGATGCACAGAATATAACATTATAGCAAGTTCCTATTTCAATAATTCATCAAGCAAATGAATGCCTCGTCAAGAGAATAGTTATTGGTAGTATACCTCAGCATTGTGCTCGTAACCTCCGAGCACGGTGAATTTATCTTCCACGAGTCTTTTCGTGTGTTCAATCATTTGACGACCTTCAAATATGGATTAATCATTAAAATAAATGACATTTGCAGAATCGCATCAAATTTATTTATTGGGTAACAAAGTTCAAGTCATGCATCCATTTGATTACCATAGCTGGTAACACTTGAAGATATCTCTAAACAAGGTAACTGACCAACCGTAGCTCCAGTAAACCCATAGACAGAATTTGCATATATCTGTAAGAGCCATGAGAAAACAGATAATCCAACAAGTCAAGTTAGTTAACATCAAGCCAAATACAGTAGTCGGCATACAATCATATAAAATAAAAATACAAAATAAAAAGGATAAAAATGATAATCCTTACCTTCAAAGCAAGTTGCCTACCATCTAACACAGCTCTTTCAAGTGGATCCTTTGCTTCCTAAAAATTTAAATTCATACAGGTAAAACACCATTAGAAGTTTTTCTTCAACACAGAGTAACAAATTTATATTTCAATATAGATTGCATTACTATTCAAGTACGACGAAACTCAAACTTTGGACATTGTGAACAAATCCACCAGATATCGTTGTCCAAACGCAATAATCAATCCCATAAAGAAAACTTTTGACAATCATTGACCAGTCTAATGTACAGTTCCATCTAGACGAACATGATCTTGTGTATTATTAGTTACCAGTTACATAAGTGTTCTTTATCTCCAGGATAATTTACATCCAAAAGACAATTTAATGGTGAAGTAGTATCAACACTTCAGAACCTTTATTTCAAAGGAATAGAAATTTACAAAAAAAAAAGTATTTATATATTTATAGTAATTAAATTGAGAACCTTCAAATCCGCTTTGGCCCTTCTACGAGCTGCCAAAAGTTCTTCAAGAATTTATGGTAGTATTCCCTGAAGTGAAACAGTAGTAAGAGAAGGCAAAAAATGGAACTTGTGCATAACTAGACCCCCATCTTTTGCTACACCAAAAAATGATGACAGTAAACAACCTGCATTAATGCTATAAATTTAACCTTTTGTAAATTTGATCTGACAAAAGTTTCACCAGTTGGAGTTTTGTTGACACACTCCGGAGGCAAATTAAGCTTCCGGGCATCTTCGGGATTTACCTACGCAATAATAATGACAAAATAGTAAATAACATCTGGAGTAAACAATACCCGTCTCAAGGGAGATGGCTAATTAGATTTTTCCTTAATTCTTATGCTTGAAATTTAACATAACCTTTCACGCAGAATAGCCAAAGACAACAAAAAAATGAAAGACTAACAAGAAAATACTTTTACTACTGTAAAATAGCACAAGTTATATGCCATCATAATTGATGGATATAAAGATTCAAAATCCAGAGTTGCAATAGGTTTCTCATAGAAACATGTTCTGGCTTCAAGAACCTGCATAAGAGAAAACATTTTATTTCCTGTCCAACAACGTGCTACAACCCATTTACAGGGAAGAAATTAATATATATATGTGTGTGCATATACACGTATCAGCATACAGTTAACAGAAAAGAAACAATGGGTGACTATTTCTCGTACGAAAGATGAACACTTACAGTTGCACCCTCGAAAGTTCCCTGTTCATATCCAGCTTCTTTCAAATTTGGAAGAATTAGATTCTTTTGTTTTGCTTTTCTTAGAAGCTGAGACATCACCTGAAGATAAAGGTAAGAATTAGATATGCAGTTGATAATCTTCCGACCTACTCTTTTTAACTACTCAAGCTGTAAAGCTAAGGAGCAACCTTGATGCTTTGTCCCCTCGAGAGTAGAAATGAGAGCGGAACACCAGTCACACGAGCCATCTCAACACAGTTATAAATGAACATCAACTTGTCCAAAAGGCGTTGTGGTAGGTAAGCATCCTACAATAATTTAACAATGAAACCGAGTTTTCCTAGTAAGACTAACATGTCTTATTTAAACATGTTGAAACACAAAATTCCTAAGACATGAAGATGCTTATATTAGGTTCAATGATGCCCGTACATGATCGATGCTCGGACAAAAAACAATAGCATCTATCAATAAGGTGGTATTGTTTGTCGGACTAATATTCTTTATTGAATATTTGTTGTTGTGATTGTGAATGAGACATCACATCAGTGCTCGTATAATGCATTTAGTAGTATAATATCAATGCATGAACCAGTGATAGACCTAATGTCGAAAGCTTGTGGAGTTCCTATGACCTGATGCTCATATAATTGGTAAAACTTGTAAAGGGAGAAATTGCAGGTTGTCCATGATAATAGATCTAGCATACATGGAGAGAAAATACAATCTACATCCCTACAATTCAATCTCAATATTCTTAACTTATACATGCGTTTTTGTTTATTTTGAGTGCGAGGACGAGGACAGTTAATATAGTGGAAGGAGGCGTTTTATAGACATGGCATCTAAACCTTTTCTTTGACAGTCTAAGTATAATGAATAAGGGCATTTGCTACAAGGAGGGAACTGGAAATGCAAAAACCAGGAGGAAAATAAAATTACCACAATAGGGAAACGCTCTAAGCATACAAATGCACATACTAATTAAATTTTATGTTGTGAACGATAAATAAATGAGACGC